GAGGGAGTGAGGGGGAGAGTGAGGACTGGGTGAGGCCATGGCTGAGGAGGTGAGCGAGGAAGGGTGAGGGGCAGGGAAGGCTGTGTGGCCTGAGTGTGGTGTGCCTCACTGTGGGTAGCCAGGCCTGGGAGTCCTCCAGGTGAGGAGGTGGTTGTACCTGGGGCCAGTGTCCTCTGCTGGCAGGAGAGCTGCCTCTCAGATGCCTGGTGCCCCTCTGGCAGCCCTGGAGGCACTGGGGGACCATCTAATGTAGCAGAGCCAAGGGATCAGGAGAAAGGGATGGAGGGCGGGCATCGGAAGCCGTGGGAAGTCCCTTCCCAGGTGGGCAGGTGTGGGGTCCACTGGCCAAGTGCTTCCCGGCGTGGCCTGTTGGCGCCTGAGGAGTGTGACCCGACTCCTAGGAGCACCCGTCAGGGCTCCTTCATGTGCCTCCTCATTGGGGTCTCCTTTCCCATGGGAGGGACGTGGGTGTGGGGCGGACGGCAGGCCTCTACGGGCCGTGTGGACACCCCTACCTAGAGGGCACTGAGCGCAGTCTTGCCGGGAGCCATTGATTTTGTTGGCTTTAGCTCGTCCAATGAGCGGCTGAGCCTCGGGACCAGCACCCAGCGTCAGGGAGCAGGCCAGGCAGGCCCATGCTTCCAGGGCTTGGGAACCATGCTAATCCGAACAGAGATGTGCCGCCCAGCTGAAGCCGCAGCCCGAGGGGAAAGGAAGGGAGCTTGGCATCTGGGCTCTCTCCTTCCAAGACCCAGTGGCTACCGAGCACCAGATGGCCAGGTGGTGGCACTGTCATGAACCTGCCAGGGGTGTTGGGCTCAAACCCCAGGTCTACACAGAGGCTCTCTGACGATGCCCCTTCTCTCCCTGGCGAGGGAGCCCCAGGAAGCCTTTGGCTCAGGGGGGCACAAAGAACAGGCCATCAGGTTCCTGACCACGGTGGCATGCTCTTGGACCACTGCTAAAGACAGCTCAAGTACACCCAGATTGTCAATGGAACCACGGGGCTCTGGACACATCCCAGCCACTCCCTCGCCCTACACTTGCTGTGTCCCCTAAAGACACAGCGGAACACTTCTGTGAAGATGCACGATGTTTCCTGCTTAGAAATACGAGATAAGCTGAGAAGTACTTACCGACGCAGCGTAAAGAAACCACTGTGTTTGAGGAGCAGCTATCACTGAAAGAGAAGAGGGGAATTCTGTCAGCTGATAAAGGAGGAGATGCCTGGCTCGCAAATACTCAGAAATGAGATCTCCTCCCCCTGTTGTCTCTCCTGTCTCCCCAGAACAAAAGTGTCCACCCCTGAAGGCTTCAGAAAGACAACTAGATCTATAAAAGGGACAATTTAAAAAAGGGTGCCACTGAGTCAAAGTACCAGGTCAAATCTCAGCTGTTCAATACTGAGCAAGTTCCTTAAACCTCCTGTTCCTAAATTCCTCACTGGAAAAATAACAATCATGCAGATTGAGCATCCCTCATTTGAAAACTGAAATCAGAAATGCTCCAAATTCGAACCTTTTCAAACAACTACTTGGGAGCACAGTGGAAAATTCCTCGGCATCTGACCCCACGTGATGGGTCACCGTCCAATGCAGGCCTATCAAAACTGTCACCTCAAATCACCCTCAGCCTATGTGCACAAGACACAGACAACTCCATGGTTTTGTGACGAGACTTTGACCCCGTCCTCAAGTGGATCACTGCAGACATGCAAAGATTCCAACTGGAAAATCTGAAATGTGAATCATTTGTGGTGCCAAGCTTCTCAGACAAAGGTACTCAACGTGCAGGGCCAATCCAGCTGGCCGGGAGGGGAGGCCCGCAGAAGTGATGGTGTCCCTTTTGTCCTTGGAACCCAGGCCACCTGCTAGTGACAGGAGGCTATTCACTGGGAAACGTGCCTTCAGATGGTGACACCGTGTGTGCCGAAGGCAATATGACCAATGCTCGGCCTGGTAGAAGGAAAGAGCCACTTGTCCAGAGTCAACGTCCTTGGTTATGAACGACAAAGAAAGAAGGGGTGCCTTCCATCCCTGTCCAATAGAGAACAGTCCCCATACACTGAGGAGGGGGCCTCAGGCCGGGACACCAGAGCTGCGCCAGCACTGACCACTGGGTGTGGGTTCCATTGGACAAAATCTGTTTTGCAGTGACCAGACCACTCTGACGGACACAGAGCAGGACACTCACCCATGCCATGACGTGTCTAGACGCGGCAGGGACCTTGCCCAAGGCACACACATGAGCCAGCCTCGGGAGGCTGGCAGCCACAGTGTCACCGACACAGCCTGAGCCTCGTGCGTTCCAGCTCCCTTGGAGAACTGCACCAAAGGCAGCACGTCCCCGAATCCCACATTGCCTGGCACTGCCCCAGCCTAGAGCCACCCAGGTGCCCGCCAGGTGCCCTGGCCACAACAGCTGTGTTCCAGGGCCTCCCCAGTTGTGAGGCACCAGAGAGGCTGCACAGAGGCAGACTCCTGCTGGAGGGAGACGCTGCCTGAGGACCCTAATGTCCACGGGTGCCACCACAGCCAGCAGCACCTGGGAACGCCGCAGTTATTCAGGAGACCCTGGCAAGGAGCTACCCTGGAGACTCAAGCATCATGGGCGGCTCTGAGGGACCCCACCTGAGCCTGCCGTGCTGACAGGCGACACTCTAGACAATGACCTTCTCTTCTTTCCTCCAAGCCTGGCAGCCACCTTGCGAGTTCCCAGGGCTCTTGCCAAGGGACGGCAGCTTCTCCCCTCCCCTGCTCTGCCCGCCCCTGGGTGCCTGGCTTTTCTTGGCTGCCTGACTTCCATGTAAGGGAGGAACACAAAGAACCGCCGGCATGTGCAGAGCAGGCAGCTGTGTTTGGCCCCGCTGTATGGACGGTCCACCTGGCCTGCAGGCGCAGCCCTGCCCTGGTCCCAGGACAGTGAGGCTGCGGCAGAGGTCAGCGCCCCACCCCACCTTGGATAGAGCCACCAGCAACACACACCAGTGCCCACCTCCACACAAGGAGAAGTGGGTCACCTCAGAGCTGGAGCCTAGGTGACAGTAAACCCCTGGGGACAAGTGACAGGACCTGGGGGTGAGAAACCTCATGTGCAAAGCACACTGCACCCTCCAGGATGACAAGTGTTCCGACAAGAGCAGGGGCCTGCAGGGGACTGGCAGAGGGGTGGCCAGTCCCTCCCTGCCCTCCTGGCCAGTGCAGCCGCTGTCAGTGACTGCCCTGGAGCTCCCTGCCACCCATGGCACCCACCGTGACCTGCCCAGGGTCACAGCTTAGCCTTGGGGTGCGGGAAATATTTGCCAAATGGAACTAGCCACCTGTGCCAGGCCCCTGCTGTGACGGACCCGACCCTGAGATGTTATTCTTGTGGATTCCTACCTATGGACTAAATGTGATCTGTCCGTAGACTCATCTGGAGTCTTACGTTAGTGGCATTAAGAGGGCAGGAACTTAATCCAACTATGGTGTTTAAAGATGGGGCCCTTGGAAAGCTTAGATTAGATGAGGTCATTGCTTTAAACCTGGTGGCTGTATAAGGAAGTGGAAGGAGACCCACAAGACAGGTGCTCCCCTCATGAGGTGATGTGGTCCAAGGTGCCCTTGCCAGTGCCTGTGCCACACTGTTTGGACCTTCTACTTCTAGAGCCATGAGCCAAAATAAATCTCCAGTCTTTATAAAGTAGTCTGCCTCAAGTGTCTTGTTATAGTAACAAAAAGGTAACAGATGCATATTCCCTAGCATATGTACGTACACCTCTGGTACCTGAAGAATGAAAAAAAGTCAACTACCAATAACAGGGCAGACAGCAGAGGTCACAAACAAAATGGCAAATAAGTGTCAATCTCTTCCCAAGAACAAATCTGGAGCTGCTGAGAGCAGCCTGTCCTGCTTAGCTTCCAAACTCCTCCCAGTGCGGAACTCATCCACATCCAGAACAGCAGCTTAAAGAAATCAACGTGGGACAGTGATGTCCAGGGGTCACACCTGTGGTAGAGCTTTTTATAGAGATCGACGGTGCCAGCACTCGTGTTCAGCTTCATGAAGCTCGCGGCACCGCTGTCGTCCACGATCCCCCGCGTGGAATAAAAGCTGTTCCTAAAAAACAAAAGGCTATTTAAACAGCGGTCACCTCAGAAGCCTTTAGAAGTCCTCGTCCCAGGCAGCACTTCTTCCAAGCCGTCCGCCGGCAGAGGTGGCACTTTCCTGCCAGATGGGACCTCGCTCTGAAAACTGGCAGAGGACATACCCTAGGACTGCGGAGGGCCACACAGGCTCCCCGGGAAGAGAAGGTGGCCACAGAGCACAGAGCCTTCCCCGCCCCGAGGGCCGCCCTGCCTCCCCAGGGAGACAGCTGTGTGGTCCATCTCCTCCAAGCCCACGTTGAGATGTGTCCCTGGGGTAAGTGTCCAGGGGAGGTGGGACCTCGAAGGGGCATGTGAGTCAAAATCCTCCCTTGCAAAGGGACTGATGCCTACTGGGGGAGGGGGTTACTCCTCCTGAGGGTGGCTGTTGGGGACCAATCCCAGCCTCTGTGTCACCCTCTCTCTCACAGGAGCACACTTGCCCATCCGCTTTCCCACCCAAGCCCTCTCCAGGTGCCGGCACCATGGAGCACCATGGTCACACTTCCGAGCCAAAATAACCCTCTGCTCTGTACAATTACCCAGGCTCAGCTATTCTGTTGCAGCAGCTGAGAACACTAAGACACCTGGCCATGTTGCTGAGCCCCTGGCCGGGAGTCCCAGCCTGGGACACTCCCTCCTGACTAAAGCCCTCAGTGGCTCCCCCCAGGCAGTGAGAGCTGCCTAGGATCTGCCAGGCCACCGCCAGTCCAGCCCTCCTGGCCGCTGCTGCAGCCGGCTCCCACCCGAGAGGAGAGCCAAGCAGACTCTGCGGAGGCTGAGCGGCTCCTCCAGAAAAGAGCCACCCAAGGCCCTCAGCCTGCACCCCTGCCCGGGCACTACGGCCCCGGGGATCATTCCTGAGTCGCAGGGTCTACAGCGGCCAGGGAGCTGAGGCGGTGGCCATGGGCCGGGCTCACTAGACACAGGGGAGGGCGAGCTCTGGAGGCCCAGGTCCACCTCCCCCTACATGGACCAGCTTCGGGAGGTGACCATGGTCTCCAGCACCTTCTCAGGAGGCGGAGACAGTCTGTCCTAAGTCTCTGCCGTTGGTCACTATCTCCACGTGGGGCCGCCCCCGGAAGCACCAGACTCACTTGTAGCCCATGTCCTTGCAGGCCGCCCTGGCGAAGTTCTCGTTCCAATCATCCTGGCACACGGGGTGCCAGGCCTTCCGCTCTGGCGAGTAGACCTGGAGGATGAAGTTGGGTCCGTAGAGGCGAACTGCGTGAGAAGAGAGCTCTCCTGGGTCCCGGGCAACGGCACCGACCAAGGTGATCCCCTGCCACCCGCGTCCCGCCACCTGCCCCGGGCAGCTCTCCTCGGGCACTCACGAAGGGGGCCACAATTCTACGCAAGAGAACTGGACGGGGTGTTCAGACACAGACTCACGTAAGTGCTCACTGCCGCACCGTCCACGACAGCCCAAAGGGGGCAGCCCAGTGTCCACCAAGGGAGGAAACAGGGCAGGCCCAAAGTGTGCAGCGGACTGTCATCTGCTGCAGATGGGAAGGAAGCTGTGACCCTGCCGCCGCGTGGGAGACCCTGAGGCAGTGCCCTACATAAGAGGCCAGTCCCAACGGCCCAGAGATCGCCTGAGACTGCTAGGAGCAATCACGCGGAGAAGGAGTCTAGGAAAGCCAGCCCCTCAGAGTGGGAGGAAGGAGGGCAGGGGGCGGCAGGAGCCCAGGAACCACGTTCTCCATCGATGGTGGATCCTCTGTGGTGGACCACGGCGCACACAGCTGCAGATGTGTAAACACCCGTGCACTGTCCACCTCACGAAGATGATTGTGAACTACAGCTCAATAAAACTGGGCTTAAAAATAAAGAAATAAGCTGGGCGCAGTGGCCCACGCCTGTAATCCCAGTGGCTTGGGAGGCTGAGGCAGGAGGATTACAAGTTCAAAGTCAGCCTCAGCAAAAAGTGAGGCGTTAAGCAACTCAGTGAGACCCTGTCTCTAAATAAAATACAAAATAGTTTTGGGGATATGGCTCAGTGGTCCAGTGCCCCTGGGTTCAATCCCTGATGGCCCCAAAATAAATAAATAAATAAGACAGAGGGTGAAAATTAAGTGTTCTTTAAGGAACTAGCTGACCTCTTGGTGTCCAGGCCCTGGGCTCTGCAGAGCACCCAGTGTGGCAACAAGGACCTGGCATCTAGGGCACTTTAAATGCCTCCAGATTAATGGACGTTTTGTCAAAATGACCTTGGCCTTGCAGTGGAAGCCCTCCCCTGTCTGGCCCATCCCCCCTGGAGTGGCCACACCTGGAGCCCTGGGAGCCCTTGGTGGGGTGGAATCTCGTGAGAAAACAAGGACTGCTGGGTGGGTCGTGGGTCACCAGGAACAACCCTGAGGACAGTGCTGCATGAGACCCAGCAAGTCACCGCTCCAGGTGCGCAGTAAAGACGTGCCCAGTGTGGTGTCCACTCCGACGTGACACTGTTCCTCACAAACAGAAAGTGGCCATTGAGCCTCAAAGGAGACTTGGACGCAGCGCTCAGTGCAGGGAGCCCATCTGAAAAGCCTCAAGCTCCTGGGCCCAGGACAATCCCGAAGGGCAGAGCCAGAGACCAATGGGGCCAGAGCTTCCAGGGCTCGACCCCAGGGCAGCCTATTCCGGAGGACGCCACCGTGACCAGCACGCCGCACTGTGCTTCCGTGGAAACCCACATGCTGTGGGGCGAGTCCTGGACTCAGTCACCACCTGTTTCCCGCTGGGCCTTCTGTGAGCCCAACGCTGCCCGGAGAATGAAGTCACGGGTTCCTTAGAAGGAACTGGACCTAACGTAGCTCCACAGGTAAAGGTGGAGCTGGCCCTGCAGAGCGTGAGGGAGACGTGAGGGTCCCGCCTCCTGGGGGTCCCAGGCTGCTCCCCCCCCCCCAGCCGCTGCGTCCACATGCGGACCAGCAGGAGCCACAGCAGGAGCCACAGCAGGAGCCAGAGGGGGAGCCGGACAAGCCTCCAGTTTGTCTGTTGCTCTTCCTTTTAGGAACTAGGGATTTTTCCAGCTTTACCAAGGTCTAAAGGACAAACACTGAGTGTGTTCCGGGGTGCACCATGAGGACTGGATTCCCGTGTCTGCCGTGAGAGGGTCACCAGCAGCGCTCAGACCCCCACGCCCCTCGCCCCACGGCCGTCTCCTTTTCTCTTTCATGCTGAGAACACTGAGACCTGCCCTCTGAGCCCGTCCCAAGGGCACCATATTTGCTGCTAGCTACAGTCGCCGCTGCCACTCTTCAGTTTCTCTTCCGACATTCCCAGGAAGACTGGCGGGACAGCAAGGGCGAGAGCTGACCACTGCTGACACACTTACACGCGCACCTTGCACAGAAAGCTCCATGCGTGGGGTTGGGACGTCCTTCCAGGTCAGAGCTGACCCGTGGTGAGAACCGCCTGTTCTAGGAGCAGGACGGTGCAGCCGTCTCCTCCCAATGAGAAGTCCACGTGGAACTGGGAGAATGGCAGGGAGGAGCCACACACGGCAGCACGCGGAGCCCCGGCCGGCGTCCCATGTCCTGCGTGTGCTGGCAGGCCTGGGGCACTGCTGCTGCGGCTGGAGCCAGAGAGCCCACCTTCCACCAAGAGCCTTCCTTCCCTCTCCTAAAGGGGGAGGAGGCAGCCCTTCTGGGGAAATGAGGCAGCGCTGCACCCACTGCAGAGCCCAGAGACATGGCGTCGGAAGAGACCACGCCTCGGTCTCCCTGCCCACTCATTCAACCCAGAACAGGAACCCGGGGAGCGGCAGCAGCACACCTCGGTGCCACGGCACCTGGAGAGGCCCGCAGAGACGATCACCTTGCTGCCGTGAGAACAGCTGTCACCAAAGAAGAAGAAGAGGAAGATGACGGGGCCAACAGCCAGGCGAGGAAAGAAGCCCTCGCTCCCGCCCACGTGAGCGCCAACAGGAAGGGCCGCGGGGAAGCTGCTGGGCACCTCGAAAGAGCATCAGCAGAACTACTCTGTGAACCAGGGCCCAGGTCCAGGGGAGAGACGGCCACACCTTCGTCCAGCACTGCCCCGTGCACCACACCCACACGTGCAACCTACCCACGTCCACCAGGAGATGGACGGGTAAAGAACTTGGCAGGCCCCAAGCAGCCTTGGGGGGAAGGGCAGCCGGCTGTGCGAGACGCCAGTACAAGAAGCCACACGCTGTTCTCACTTGTGCATGGGTGAGGAAGTCGCGCTCAGGGGAGCAGAATGCACCGTGACAGTCGCCACAGGCTGGGGCGGGGGGCAGATGCTGGCCAAAGGAGACATGGCCTCTATTAGACAGCAGAAGCCCCTTCGAGAGCTCTAGAGGGCAACCTGGCAACTCAGGTTGGCAGAAGGTCGTGTGTTTGAAAATCACTGAGAGCAGATCTTAAGAGATCTCCCCGCAAAAAAGGTGAGTACCCCACAAGGTGATGCCTGTTGGGTAGCCTGGGCAGCCATTCTGCAGGTGTCCCTACGCCACAGCAGCCCACTGTACACCGTGAATGTGGCACGGCTTTAACTTGTCAATCGACAGACCAACAATGGAAAATAAAGCAAACCCAAGTGCTCATGCTGTGACAAAAGAAAAGACTTTAAAGGCAGCTTGTCTTAAAGCCACACAGTGACCCCCAACTTCATATTTTAAGCAGCTTCTGGGCTTTTCACTGCGGCCCTGTGGCATTCATTTGCGAGCACATGGGTTTGAAGGCAGTCTCCCGGGCCCTGCCACGGACCTCCCACCCTGCTGTGTGACGCTGGACCACGAGTACAGCCCTTCTGAGGCCAGGCTCATCCTCAAGACGTGAACAGAGCTGGCTGGTCACCCCTTGCCCAGGCAGAGCTGCTGCTTCCCAGGGCCAGAGCCGCTCACCACATTGGTTCTCGTCCTCGCCGTTGGGGCAGTGCGCGATGCCATCACACCAGAAGGAGGGGCTGACGCAGGTCCCTGAGGAGCCACACTCCATCTCGGACACGGAGCACTTGTTCTCCACTAGCAGAGGAAAACAGAGGCGGGAAGGAGACCGTCAGCTGAGGACCAAGGGGACCTCATGGAGCGCCATCATCCCCCCTTGAGCCCATAAATAAAGAAAAATAACTCCCCCAATTTTTATTAAGTAGGGAATGTGTCCTTGTCACCAGCATGCACAAAAGGAATTAGGGCTGGGTATGGCATGTCCACAAGGCCGATGGGAAGGACCCTCCCAGGGGACTCCAGGGACCCACAAAGCCCCCCATGTCTCCACTGCTCCAGGGTAAAGGCAGAGACAGACACCCTGCTGCCCAGGGTACGGGGCGGGGCTGCTCTAGAGCAGCCACTGTTACCCAGTGAATATAGTGACTAGGGTTGGCCCCAAGGAGGGGGCCAGCTGTGCTCACAGAGCTGGTGCCACCTTGCTCTGGCAAATTCTAACTGTTCCTCTTGTGGTGTGTCCAAACTACAGAAATGGCCCGGGATCGCCGTGACCCACAGGCTAAGAGGAAGCCCACAGCAAGGTGGGACCCATGAGATGGGCTGCTCCCAGGAACAAACGATGAGAAGGAAGGTCCAGGCCACAGTCTCGGAGGGGCCTTGGGGCCTCCCCAGCCCAGGCAGCAGGGTCACCCTGTGCCCAGGACTGCAGGAGCCATGGCTGAGAGGTGGCAGCCGGCCCAGGGGGTTCTCTGAACTTACAGAACTTCCAGACCAGGACAGCAGCTATAACAGTGACCACAAGGAAGGTCCCGAGGACAAGAGTGACACACAGTACTTTCTTGGCCCCTGCAGAAAAGAGAAAGCAAGACACCTGGTGAGCACTGACCCTCCCGCCTCCCCCAGCACATCCCAGTCCTGACGTTCCTCCACCAGCACCAGGGCCACGGCCCTCCCTCCCGCTGGAGTGGCTCAAGGTGACAGTACATTTGACACACAGACCTGCCCACCGACTGGCTGGGCCTCATCCGCCTTAAATGCACTCCAAACACCTTCATCAGCCTCCGGCTGGCCGAAACCACGTGACCCAAAGCCCATTTCTAATGGAACATTGAATATCCCGTGCAATTTATTGAACCCTGGGCAGGGAACAGCAGACGGCTTCACAGGTTTACCTTCCCACTGTCGTAAGATCAAAAACCAAAGTTGGACCGAGCTCAGTCAGGGCCGCCTGACCACCCGAGGAGGGAGCCCTGTTTCTTCTCTCTTGTTTCTATGCTGCTCAGGAGCCCCACACATGCCGGCAAGCTTTCTGCCACTAAGAGACACTCCCAGCCTAAGAAATAGTGGGTTTTATACACTTAAAAAATGTGAGTTGACGTTGTAAGAACAATGTGTCTCGGGGGCCTGGCTGTTTGGAGAGCAGAACCTCTGGTGAATGAATCCCACCCCAGCCTCAAAAGCTCTGCTCCCTAAAAAGGGTCTTCAACTAGGCCAATGATGAATGGGAAAAACAGACAGGAAAAGCACCTCATTTCAGTAATGAGGAGCCTGAGCCATGTGACAGTGTCCCCCACTGTCATGGTCCCAGGAGAGGCACCCAGGGCAGAGGAACAGGTCTTCCCCAAGGCTGTTTGGAGAGCTGATCGTGTGCACCACCTCTCCCATTAGACAGCTTCCCGCTGCCTGTGGCTTCTTATGTTTTAGTTCATTAAATTTAAATGGAATTAAATAAAAGTACGTAACTCCAAGCACTTAGTAGTCACACGTGGCCAGTGGCTACCATACTGGACAGGGCAGGCATAGAACATCCCCATCACTACTGAAAGTGCCCATCACACAGCACCAGCTTACACCCTTTGGTCCAAGGGCAGAATAGAGGCCCACTGCAGCTAAGAATAAAGTAATTTGAAGAAGGTCAGCAGTTTACTCTGGACAAAACAAAAAGAGGGCATTTTTTGTCAGAGGTGTGAACCAAAGTTTGCTTCAGAGTTTGGAACAGCCGGGCTCAGTGGCACATGCCTGTAATCCCAGGGACTCCAGAAGCTGAGGCAGGAGGATCATGAGTTTAAGGCCAACCTCAGCAATTTAGCGAGGCCCTAAGCAATTCAGTGGGAACCTATCTCTAAATAAAATATAAAAGGGGCTGGAAATGTGGTTCAGTGGTTAAGCACTTCTGGCACCAAAAAAAAAAAAAAATCCTAACATAGTGACAAATACCGTGAAAGCACCCTGCCTCAGACATCTGTCCCTTATGCTGAGCTAAGGAGGGTGCCCAGCCTGTCACCTCCAGCAGTTCCCATGTGGCATGCAACCTCAGACTCTGGAGCTCCCAGAAGCTTTCTTTGAAAGAAAGGTAGAGAGGTGGGAGAGATTTGATGAGAAGGTATCTATTATTTATTCATTCATTCATTCATTTTGGTGCCAGGGATTGAATCCAAGGGCACTTAACCACTGAGCCACACCCCCAGCCCTCTTTTATTTTTTTATTTTGAGACAGGGTCTTGCTAAGTTGCTTAGAGACTCACCAAGTTGCTGAGGCTGGCTTCAAACCTTCCATCCTCCCGCCTCATCCTCCCGAGCTGCTAGGATCATAGGCATGTGCCACTGCGCCCAGCAAGAAGGCATTTAAGCAGACCCTGCCGGGCTGGTCAGGCGGTGTCCCCTGCTGCCCTCACCTATATGCTCCTGGGCTTCCAAAAGTCAGTCAGAGCAAGAAATTAAGTTTCTAGAGTTGGAGAGCCAGAGAGGCCCATCTGCTGGGGTCAAAGCCACTCCTCCCTTCTCCTCACCACATCCTGCGGATTCTCCAAAGGCTCTCGGGCAGTAACAGACTTAATAACTCCCTGAGGATCTCGTCCCCAGTCACCAGAATTTCTGATTGACATCTGGGAAGTTGCACTCCTCACAGGTACGGCCCAAGCCGCTGGCCTGAGAACTGTGCCCGAACAAAGATCTAATCAAAATCTGGCTAAAGGTGGCCATGCCTCAAGGTGGCAGGGTAGAGCCCAAAGGAAGTTCACAGGAGAAATTCCAAATGGCCTCTTGGACCCATGACCAAGGACACTTCTCTCCTTGGATGACTCCCCTGAATGCCATTGTATCTAAGATAAAATAACTTGCTGAGGCTGGGGGTGTCGCTCAGCGGTAGTGGTTGCCCAGCAGGCACGAAAACAAGGCCCTGGCTTTCATCCCTGGTCTGGTGAGTTAGGGTCATCACACCAGGCGTCTTTCACCTCCCAGTGAGGGTGGCAATGTGCCAGGTCTCCCTGGGGACCCGAGCACAGTCGGAAGCCTCAGCTTTACCTCTGGATGGGGATTTGCCCCAGTGCGAGGTCAGCTAGACTCGCCTCGGTCCTGGTTTGCAAAGGCTGCTGCGGAAGGGTTCGCTGGACCTACCATTCACCTGCATTAATCATTATCGAGCGGCCTGTGGCTGGCCCTGCCCTGCAGCTTCCAGAGTCAACTATTTGCATCACAGGATGGTTGACCTTTGATTTTCCAAACAGTCTTTCAGATGTATACGTGCTGCTGTGCCAATGGAAACTTGTATGGCTGCTGCTAGAACAATACATTAAGTGTGTGTGTGTGTGTGTGTGTGTGTGTGTGGTGCTGGGGATTGAACCCAGGGCCTTGTGCATGTGAGGCAAGTACTCTACCAGCTGAGCTCTCTACCCTCAGCCCCAAAAAACAAAAAACAAGGTTCTATGTTCTCCAGATGGGGTACTTCTGGGTTACTACTTAAATCACTTGGAAAATAGTCTCAAAGCTGAAGATGACTCTTACAAAATGTATATCATCTCTTGTGATATATGTAATCACATGATCTTTAAAATAAAACCAAGGTGAGTTTAATAAATAATAAGTAAAAATTTTAAACGAAGAAAATTACTGGGTTGGGGATACAGCTCAATTGGTAGAGGGCTGGCCTTGCCTGCACAAGGCCCTGGGTTCAGTCCCCAGCACCACAAAAGAAAAAAAGAAAGAAAATTACTAAAATTATTTTTGAGTTTATGGGGCACAGTTTCTATAAATACATACACGTAAAGAGGTAACCTGCTCCTGTCCCTTTCTGTCACCCCCTGGATTCTCCCTTGGAAAGTGAGAGTATTTGGCGAGGGGGGCCAGGGGCCCTCTGCCCTCCTGGCCAACCACTGTTGGTGTGAGACCACCTTTGGAGGTGCTGACCTCACCCGCAACCCGATGGCTTGTGTGTGTCTGTGTGTGTTACTGGGGGTCGCACCAGGGACAGGGCCTCCGTAAGTGGCCCAGGCTGGGCTTGAACTCATGATCCTCCTGCCTCAGCCCCCAAGTAGCTGGGGTCACAACATGGGCCACGGCACCTGGTGCCCCCTGACCCTTGACAGTCAGCAGGTTCGACCGAGGTGCCCAGTCCTCTTCACCCTGGCTTCCTTCCAACCTCCATGACGGGCACCCAAGCCTGGGCACTGTCCACCTCGGCACACCATGGCCCCGTGGCCCTTTCTCTTGGGGACCCTCCTACCCACTGCAGGTGTTTAGCAGCAGCACGGGCATCAACCCTCGATGCCAGTAGTGTCCCCTCCCTACTTTAACGACCCAAACTCTGCAACACTGTCGACTGCCTCTGAGGGCCAAAGTCACCCCTGTTTGAGAACCACTGGTCTCGACATACCCAACCCCCTCCAGAAGACCTCGGGCAGCGACAGACATTGCTGTGGGCAGAGGGGCACAGGGTAGGCGTGGTAGGGGAGGGATGCCAGGCTGAACAGGGCAGAGCTGAAGGGAGGGAAAGACACAGGGTGAGGGGTGACTGAGGCCATCGAGGGGCAGAGTGACAGCTCTGGACCGGAGCTGGAAGGCCTGGGAGGGCAGGCAGGGCTCCCTGAACTGAAGGGGGTGGTGTTGCCCCCGATCCTGTGCGGGTGGCATGGAAGTCCATCCATTATCTCCCTTTCACTCTGCGTGCTGTATAGACAGGGATGCCTACGCCAAGACCAGAAACAGGCTCCACCCAAAAGCTTCCCCCTAGAGCTTCCTCTGCACTGTCCAGCTGGGCAGGCTCCAGCCCGAGGTCCAGGAGGGAAAGGTGAGGAGAGACTCCAGACACTGAAATGACAGGGGCAGAGAAGACGCCCCGCCGCCCACCCCCCTCTGCCCTCCGCCCCCGGCTCTGGGACTTCAGGCCAGGAGAGGAGGTGGGGTGTGGTGGACCTCCTGCTCACCCCCCACCCACCCCCAGGTCGCTTTCCCTGAACACCAAGCCACAGGGCGTCTTGACCTTGACCTGCTGTGCTAGCAGCCAGTCCCACCCTGGGGAGCCACCATTTTCTCAGACACATCAATAAACCTGAGGCCAGAATCGAGGAGAAGCTGGTTGGGAAAGACCCCAAGGCAGAGCCCAGGGGGGTGGCTGTCGCTCAGGTGGAAGCGAGACCTGGAGTGGGCAGCACTGAGCGGCAGGACAGGGAAAGGCAGGTGGCCGGTGGCGGAGGTGTGACAGCCTGCTAAGAAGGCAGAAAAATGCAAAACGGGTCCTACTTGTGGTACACACTGTCCCCGGAGGGGGCTTGGGCTGCCGGTAGATGCCAGGTGTCGAAGTGTGCGTGGGGACCCTGGAGGTGTACTGGGGCACCGGGGATGGGTAGTACTGAGCTGGATACGCAGCGTAGACATTGGGAGCCACGGCCGGCTGCGATGGGTAGAGGGCTTCTGGTTGGTATCCGTGGTTTTCATAGTAAGGCCCGATGCCCGGGGACGGCCCCTGAACAAGTGAAAAGAAAAATAACATAAAGCTGTCACTGACCCTAAAGGGCTGAGTACACAGCCTCAGGCCCCAGTCCCAGGGGCCCTGCAAGGCCACGCAGACATGCCTGGGTGTCTATAATTACACCAGTTTACTTAGAAAAACCAGATGCCAATTCCAAATTAACCATTCTCAGCTGTCAATGTTGTTTTGTTTACTATTTATTTTGCAATAAAGAAAAAGTGGCTGACATCTACAGAAAAAAAATGTACAGAAGTGTGGGATTAGAACCCATGGGACCAACATCCTCGACCTGTGGTTCCTTGGGGCCTCTCCTTGAGCGCGGAGCTGCAACATTAGGAACCAGTGATAATCATCTTCGGCTTAATCATCTTGGGTTTGAGAGTTCGCCTGCTGCCAGGCCTCGGTACCCATCACCTCTTTGAAACCTGGACACCAACCCCGAGGGGTGCACAAGCACCACTCTGCACACCACTTGCAGAACAGGGTTGGAGTGGACAGAGCTGCCCAGAGGCAGCCTCTGCTGGTGACTCTGGGGCTCCTCTCCTGCCCTCCCCTCCTGCAGAGCTGCCCCCTTCCTACCACCTCCCCAGGCAGGCTAGAGCTGCACCACACCTTCCAGCCGCCCTGCAGCAGAAGCTCTGGTGCCGGTGTGCACATGCACAAATGCCAAGGAACGGCCCAGACACACCACGAGTTTCTGGCTCCTGCCTTCAGCTGGTGTCTATCTTCTCAGAAAAAAACTTCTCTTCCCCCTGGGCCCACTTCAAAGCCACCTCCTCAAGACCCACCTCACACAGGGCACATGGGACTCCCTCTAGTGCTGATGGCTGGGTCTCTCCTTGGATGCCACCTTTGTCCTCTTGTCTGTGTCCCAAGGTCCCCAGGTAACCCTCCCCAACTCCTGCCCCTTGTCACTTTGGGCTACAGAATAGCAGAGGGGTTGTCCTCCAAGGACAGGTGTCCTCAGCAGAGGCCACTGAAGGCTTAGAATTTTAAATGGGGCCTTCAGGGAACGTGATTGTAAGCACAGGAGCAGATGCCACTCCCAGTTAACCTGCGCTTAGTAACCCACTAAAGCCACCTACAAAGGTCCAAAGATTGATACTCCACCCGGAGCAGCGACGGAGATGGAGAGACAGGCCATCCCTAACCTAAATGGGGGCACCAGAGGCATGGAAATCAGCCAAGAGCAGCTGGCCTCAGTCCCAACCATTGAACATGCCACTCCACCCAGGGGGGTGCGTGTCACCCAGCACCTAGTCCAGGAGGATTCCAGTGCAGTGGGTCTGACACTACAAAGGGGTCCAATAAAAAAGTGAATACCAGTGACCAGGAGCCTATAAAGGGGGATAGACCAATAAAGGTATATTTCCCAAGAGGATTCAGAATTCTTTTTTTTTTTTTTTTTTTTTTTGGTACCAGGGATGGAACCCAGGGGCACTTAACCACTGAGCCACATCTCCAGCCCTTTTTTATATTTTATTTAGAGACAGGGTCTCACTGATTTGCTTAGATCTCGCTAAATTGCTGAAGCTGGCTTTGAACTTGTGATCCTCCTGCGTCAGCCTCACAAGCTACTGGGATTACAGGAGTGCACTACCGCACCTGGCTCAGAAAAATATTTCCACTAACCATAATGTCTTTGCTAAATGCACTTATTTCAGGCATAATAGGAACCTGTGAGATCTGCTGGGAACAGAGACCAGGGAAGAGTTTCCCAGGGGCAGGAAGGACAGTCCACCCAGCACCTCATTCCTACATAAGTGTCTCTGGGGCACCAGGAAGCTCTCTTCCCAGGACTCACCTGCTGGCCCACCCTGCTGCACCTGTCTACACACCTGGCGCCCCCCCCCCCACCAACTGTGAAGGCAGGAAGTGGGGAGGTCAAAGCCAGGGTGTGCACCTGGGTTCCTACCCAGCAGCAACGGCGTTCCAGACCCCTCTGGGCAACTCTGGGCTCTGCCCCAACTCAGCCTTTCTAGACAAGGCCTTGAAAGCCCTGCACACAGCCACAGGGGGCCCACAGGCAGCCCTTAAAAGCGCTGACCCACACCTGCTCTTGGGAATAACAGGAGGAGTGAGGACCAGGAAAGGGCCAGAGAGGTAATGATTAACCACTTACTGAGTTTAAAGCCATCCTGATTTTATCAACAGCATTGGGTAAGGGTAGGCATCTGGATCGTTCAAGACGACCTGGAAGAAAAAATTACAAGACTGTAATGCCTCCAAACAGGTTAGTTTTCAGAAGATAAATCTAGAAAAAACTGGAAGACTCTGGCAAAAGGAACCTCCTGCCAGAACAAACTGAAGTTCTGCCCATTGACCGTGATCCCTGACCTTCACGGCCTCTTCCGCACCTCTCCAAACACAGCAAGTGGATGCAGAGGCTCAGGGAACCAGGGTTCTCCTCTGGGATGCGGACATGCCCTTGGGGCCAGAGGGTGCAGGGCCGGCAAGCAGCTTAACACTGCAGCCCAGAAAGCGTGACCTTGAAGAGGGAGGGACAGACTGAAGGACCCAGACTCCAGGGAAGGCCTCTCAGGCCTCCAAGCCCTACTGAACTCACATGGCTCCCAGCAGGGGACCATGACCTTCCCCTCATGTCACACCTACCAAAAGAAGAACCCGTGGAATAAAAACAGGTAGGAATCACCACAAGGAAACTTCTAGAGCCATCAAGACCAGCAGAGGTTAAGGCAGACCAAGGAGGAGAAGACCCCGGCAGCTCCTGGCAGAGTCACTTTCCGGGGGCGCTGGTGACTGAACCCGGCTGAAATCTCAGTGCCTCCTCCCCACACCGTTAGGTCGTGGGTTCAGTGCAGACTTGTGGGCACTTCCCCGTGTCAGGCATGGCACCAAGGGACGGGGGTGCGATCAGCTCCACCCTCCTGCAGGACACCCATGGGTGCCTGCCTGGGGCCAGCTGCCATGGAGCAGGTGGTCCCACCTAGTGCCACAGGCAGGCCACATCTGATGTCTCTAAGTAAGTGACAGAGGCCCTCCCAAGTTTTAATAAGTAGATCCGTCTGACAGCTTCCACTAACACATCCACTCCGGTTACTGCCCCAGATCAAAAAAGAAAGAAACTGGACGCTAACTAATTTGACCAAATTCAAGATTAGTGTAGGCGAGAGAAAGCTGTGGTCATTTCACGTGTAGCCATGAGATGCCGTCGGCATAAAATCCTCCATTCTCCTTCAGTCTCCACTGACACAGATTCTTTGCCTAAACCAACTTTACCAGGCTCCCCAACTCCAGTGCACTTCCCGGTAAAATGTGGTTTTAGCCGAGAACCCTGCTAAGTCAGGCTATCAGGAACCCCCACCTTGGATACCATCACTCTGGACACCAGAGCGGTTTCTTATCCTCCACACCCCAAAGGGTGTCTGGTCAGCCGGGCCTGCCTCCAGCAAGAAGCCTGTCGGGTCAGTTCAGCCAGAACCCCGCTCACCTGAAGTCCCGTCTCCTCTTAGTGACTTTCCTGCTAGGATCCTGCCTGCTTCTGGGCTGTAAATTCCCACTTCCCCTTGTGCTGGGAAAGAACCCAATGTCCCCCCACTGCAAGGCCCCTGCCCTTCTCCTGTTCTACTGACAGTGTCCTGAATCAAGCCCTCCTCGTCCTGATTTGACGAAGGTCACTAAATCACTTTCTCTTAACACCCTGTTCAGTGAGGGCTTTTCTCTACTCTTCAGCTGGGCAAGACATGGCCAGAGAATATTCTATGAAGCGATCTTTGGGATCATCCTTCCGAAAGACAGTGCTCTGAATGAGGGTAAGGAGCCTGGAGCAGGTCTGGGCTTTGCTGGCCACATCAGAGGCTGAATGTTTTCACCTATAAGAGCCTGGCACTGGGTAGGTACGCAAACAGTGCAGGTGGCTCGTGTAGGTAGCCCATGACCTCTGGGACTAGACTCTCTGCATCCAAACCTAGCTCAGCCCCTCTCTAGCTATGAACTGGAGCAAGCTAGTTCATGGTCCTATACCTTGGTTCTCTCCCCTGCAAGTTAGGTGAGAGCAGTACCTACGGCACAGTAGTTGGGTCCCTGAGAAGTTCACACTAATCAGTTAGCGTGCTACATCAGTCTTTGTTAAAAAATAACCACAGAGCCGGTGTAGTTGCACACGCCTGTAATCCCAGCAGCTTGGGAAGCTGAGGCAGGAGGATCACAGGTTCAAAGTCAACCTCAGCAACTCAACAAGGACTTTAGTAACTTAGCAAGACCCTGTCTCAACATAAAATATAAAAAGGGACTGGGGATGTGGCCCAGTGGTAAAGCGCCCCTGGGTTCAATCTCCAGTGCAAAAAACAAAAAACTGCTGTTTTGTGGCATTTAGAATTTGCTTTTGATAAGTATCCCAAGCTAGTGGGTGTCACAAAGTCCACCCAGTTTCAATTCACTGGCGCCAAATACAGTGGACATCACTGCCTTCCCATCTCCTAGGCAAATCACCATCTGATCATCAAACAAGAAAAAAGAAAGATGGAGACTTCTGATGGATGAAAATATGAGAGTCACTTCGAAGGGGTCACAGCAAAAATGCACCAGCTCACTTATTTACTCTACATGAAGGGCCAGATCTTGTCAAGAGCAGCAAAATGTTTTTCACGATTAAATAGATAAAGTCAAGCCCTTCCTGGGTATGAGCAGAGAAAACCGGGGAAGGTGCAGGCTGCGGGATCGCCGTTCACCACACACGTGGGCACGGAAGGCTTTTCAACAGGTGGGCTGTCGTTCCAACACGCCTTCCCGAGTCCCCGAGGTGGAGGACCCTGAGGCTCCGGGCACCAAGACCAATCCTGCACCCCTGCCCAGGAAGCAGAATGAACTGGGCCCTTGCTAAGGTTCCTTTCAAAACAGTCCTGCCTAAGCAAACACGTGCCCAGCTCTGGTTTCTCTGCTCCCTGGCAGCCCCGCCCACCCGCTGGGCTGTCTCGCCAGTTCTGGGATTGGTTGAAGTTTCAGGAAATGAGAATCTGATCGCGCTGGCGGCTTTCCCAGTTTAGGAGTCCTGTGAAAGGAAGGTGAGTCAATGCCCCAAATCCACACTCGCTATTCATCAGCGATCCCTAACAGTGGGAGAAGGAAGCCGGGAAAGGGAGGAACACTGGGAGCCAAGTGGTCTCATACAAGCCACAGGACACAGAACAAGGGGAGAATCCTACCTCACCCAGGGATCCCGCCACCCAGGACACTGGAGCCAGCGGCGTGAAGTGTGCCCGGCTCAGCTGGGCTACGGTGGACTTTGGAATAGAAGACCAGAGCGCTACCTGCCACCCCCTGCCGAGGAGAAGGAAGGGGAGCCCTGTTCCCACTCCAGAGAAGTGGATCTGAAAGGGAGCCAGCTTCCCAGCTTCCCGAGAGACCCAGGGGGCCGCATCCATCCGCTCACCCTCAGAACGGGCTCCATTTCCACAGCCGCAGGAGATTACAAATCGAATGAACTCGTTTCTGAAAGGAGCAGGATACAACCCAGGTGACAAGAGACAACCTGTTTAGCAGTCTTTCCTGTCATTTAAAAGACAAGGACCATTGTTCTCTATTCTGGAAAGCCAGCTCTCATGAGCACTTTGGGAAATTCTCCTTTAAGTGCAAGAGAGCAAATGAGGACAAAGGTCCCGACACCCTCCTCGCTGGCAGCCAATCCACTGCCTCCCAACCAAGCAGCTGCCCTCCTGCTGCTCCGACCCACTGCGCGTCCCTTCAGGGAGCCGAGGCACCTGCAGCACCTCTGCCCCACCTCGCACCTGGACAGTGCTGCAGGATCCGACCTGCACCCCATGGCAGACCAAAGCTGTTTCTAAAGGAGAACAGGTTCATCTTATAGTTTCCATCCTCTGCAGAGTTAGGAGCACATTTGCTGGAGATTTATTTTGAAAACCACCCAAAGCCAATGCAGTCAGGACCATGGGTGCTGACTTGGACCCAGGGTCAGGGGTGGTCCCTACAGATAAGATCACTACCCTCACTCACGCCACCCCGCACCTGTGCCAGCACAAGTCCCCACAGTGTGCTGGGTACTGTCCAAGTTGCTGGAGGTGCGAGGGGTGCCACATCAACGGACACTCCACAGCCAATGAACAAATATGGAAGAGAATCCCTTATATCAAAACCGAGGCACTAAAACACACCCAAGATGCTCTCTGCTCTGGGATGGAGAGCTAGCTGGAGGCTGGGCAACAGCGGTGGGTTTCAGTAATAGTCAGCATGAACCAGCGTGAGCACATCAGACGGAACGCGTACAGCAGCTGACAAGGAATTCTACGGGTGGAGGGAAAGTGAGGTGTTGGGAAGAGGCTGCCTGCACCATCGAGTTTCCTTCTACGACTGCCCCATTGTCCTAAGGAGGCTACAGGCTTTTTAGAGTGGATATCAGGTCTGGTCCTCTTTTTAAAAAAGCTAGTTTTATACCATACAAAGAACATGTTCGAATATCTTTGAGATCCAAAGGCTAAATGAACATGGTGACATTGAGCAGAGTGAGATGGGAGCCAGCACTGGACATCACCAGTCTCCAAGCCAGGGATCTCAGGGGATCCACAGGGTCTGTGTGCGAAAGAGCTGTATGTGGGGCTAACAGGACAGGTGGGTCTCCAGGCCACTCCAAGAGGAGGTGTCCAGGCCACCAGCCCAGGGTAAAGAACATGCCCAAGTCCACCTGCATGACGGGGATGATAACTGAATAGGTATGGTAAGGATTAAGTGGCAAAGCAATCCCTGGATCAACGTGGGAGGAGCCACGGTGACAACATGAGGGTCATCCTCCATAACCAAGGATCTGCTAAAGCAGAAGGGACTTAATGTAGTCTCTGTCCCTCCAAGGCCCTACCAGGATCAATGGTCAGGATAGTCCCAATAGCAGCGTTGACTCCATTTGGGGAAACCAAGTTTCCGACAGTTGTAAAGCTCAAGGACTGTGGCTACCTGGGAAAGAACAGAATTCCACAAACCTAGAAACATGGACCCAAGACTAGCAGGTCATGTCTCTAGCATATTCTAGAACAGGACTGGGCTTCCGCTGCAAGGCCAGATGCGATGACCTTCTCAAGTTGCTCCTGGGCAGGCGTGGTGGTATATGCTGGGCCTGTAATCCCGCTACTTGGGAGGCTAAGGCAAGAGGATCTTGAGCATGAGGCCAGCCTAGACAACATG